AATTTAGTAATAATCTTTATAGTATTTCCAAATAATGAAGAAAATGAATTAGCAAAAAAATTAATTGGAAAAGTTGGCGGAACAACTACTGTTCTACATACTCCAATTACACGGAAAAAGTTAATTTATTTATGCATATGGAAATCAGTTACTCTGCTACTAATAAAAATAATAAGAATCTGCGTGTTAATGATAATATTTTGAAGAGAGTAGCAGATACATATCAAGATACATTTGAAGACATATCAGAAAGTGATTCTAAGATGAATAAGTACATTTTATGTGTGGTATTTTCTCGTTCCCCTTTATTTTGTTAAAACGCATATCTTTTAATATGTTAATTTATTATGTTTAATTTTTTATTTAATCTATGCTGGCTAACATTTGTCGTTATTTGTAGGATGATAATTCTATTAGTCTAGAGGTAATTTATAAATTCGAAAATGTCGATTCACATTCTTTTTATCAATTTTCTAATTCTTTATCATTTTTAGAACACATTACGACAAGTTTCAAAACTTGGTTATTCAACAATTTCTGCAACTAATGGCCTAGAAGCAGTCACATTGATTGATTCAAAATCTTCGTGTTCATTCTTTACAGATATAGATCAGATAAAGTCTCATAAAATTTCATTAATTTTAACAGAATATAATTTAGTAAGTCTATTTTTCTAAATTCGTTATTTATATCTATCATGGTAAAATGTTTACAATTCATTAATTATTATACTTAGCCAATGATGTCAGGCTTTGAGGCATCACAAGCAATTAGGGCAATGAAGCCACCAATTTCAAGTATACCAATCATTGTTCTAACGGCATTACCAGTAGATGAGATACGAAACAGATGTATCAAATCAGGAATAAATGATTATCTTGCAAAGCCTTTGAAAATTGAAGAACTCGAAAAGGTTCTAACTAAATGGATTAGTAAAAATTAAAATTAATTGTAATTAAGAGCAATTATAAATTCATAAATATTTATGCTGCAAGTTTCTTTTTAAGCTTCAATTTTTATCTACAATTTGCTTCACAATATAAAATGTGTTATATTTTGTAGCTATAAGTATTTTATCTATATTCAATTATTTAAGCTTTCTTTCTGTTATAGTTTATGTGATTATTTTTAGTTTCATAATTATATTTCTTGTTTTTTCTAAAAAATATTATATTTTTTTATGAGATGATATAACGTACATACTTAGAGTTTGGTTTACTGGTGAGTGTCTAATTCGTAACTGATTGGATGATGCATTATTGCGATTGCTGAATTGCACGCTATAAAGTTTAAAATCTATTTTATGATGCAATAATAAAATCAAAATGACGTTAAATGAGTAGTATTTAATAATGAAGAAGCTATTGATAATAATTCAACATTCCATGTAAACCAAAATTTACTTCCTTTTCCTAATTGACTTTCTACATTAATTTCTCCTCCATTAATTTCTACTATGCTTTTACAAATTGAAAGGCCAAGTCCTGTACCACCTTGCATCTTAGTCATTAACATGTCACTTTGTGAATAGCTTTGCCATGTATGTTTTAAATATTCTGGATCCATGCTATTATTATTAAATAAATCATTAGCCTATGTGCTTAATATATAGAATATATAATATACAACGTTGAATATACAGAACTATAAAGTATATTATTTTACCCAATGCTAGTATCATATAATTCAACCAACAAATTTCCTTTCTTAATGCTTTGACCGTAAGGTTGTTTATCTTTGTCTTCATCAATGATATCTTGTAATTGTATTGAAATTGTCACTACGATTTTACCCTCGTCGGTAAATTTAATTCTAAGAAATTAAGAATAATTAAATATAATTAATTAAAAATAAAAATTCATACATATGCGTATAAAAAAAAATAAATAATTACGAATTTGATAATAAATTAGACAAAACTTGTTTCAACCTATTTACAATAATATGAGACAAAAAATATCAATGTAAGTGATAATAACTTTTTTTACACATCTAGAATAAGGAAGTCAATAATAATTCTATTCACCTTTCAGGATCACTCTTAACATATCTTGGCAACCTATCTACCTCACAATTTAAAATTAATTCAATTCTTTTACTTCCAGCCTTTTTCCCAAATGACTCAATCGTACTCTCAAATAATTCTAATAAATCAAATGTGCTATTTATTAGAGTGATCCTTTGTGCTTCGAATTTTGCTGCATCAAGAATGCCATTTATTACAGATAAAACTATATCAGAGGAGCGTGCCACGATATCAATCATATCTTTTTGATCAGTGGTTAAGTTAGTACTATCGAAGGAAGAGAGAAAGCCAACTATTGCTCCTAGCGGTGTTCGTAATTCTATTACATATAAGAATGGAATTAGAATTGAATAAGATAAAATAAGAATGGAAAAAAGAGTGGAATAAAAATAATAATTAAAATTAATTAACAAGATGAGAAGAATATACCATGAGAAGTATTAGCTAAAATTTGACTCTTTGCCCTACTTGCAGCTTCAGCAGCTTTTATTTTTATTTCGTTTACAGCATTCTCTTCTAGCATGTTTGCATAAGTAATACCTAAACTTATTTGATTCGATATTTGTTGTAATAATTCTATTTCTGAATCACTCCAAATAGAATTTGGAGATCTATGTACTTTTATCCATCCCCAACAAATGTCGTTCAACCTTATTTCTGCAGATAATAATGATACATTTTTACAAACATTATCACAATACATATCTAAAAAGACATCTATTCCTGAATTAT